GGCTACGTGACGTTTCGCTGAAGTTGAAAAGTTGTGTATACTGCGCCACTGTACGATCAGTTCTACTTTACGGTTAGTGAGGCCTTTAATTTGCAGCTAGAAGACATCCGTCGTCTAGTGGTTTTCGACAATCGATGCTTATGTAGTCTGACCCAAGTGGGATGGAGTGAGCGCGTTAGTAACTTAGAAGTAAATCGTCGGGTGTTTGGGAATGCATTAAACACAAACTCGCTCTCGCATCGAATCCGGTTCAATAGGCTTCGTTGGTGAGGATACGTTTAGCATATGCCGACGGTCGCCTACCGCAGGGCGCCTTATTCGCAGTGGCCGTTGCAGGCTGCAGAAAGCCACATGGAGGCCAGCAGATGACTTGGAGACGCGACATGAAGAAATGCACTGAGCGATTAGGTAGAGTAGGCGTCTTTCGTGTTCCGGGTTGGGGTCCAAAAGAATCCATAGCCGCATAGTTGGAGACACTGAATGTCATGGCTGCAAACCGACAGTAATGGTGATCTGGCTATCACTTCGTATCAGAATGCATGAAATGGTATGTATGCACCGTTGAACTGTGTAATCTGTGTATTGACCGCTTTCTTTCTTTTCCTGACCCCAAAATTAAGTCCAATCCCTATCCTCCTAACACATTCTCACTTACCTTGTATACAATTTGAGTTTGGAAGTGAAGTTCGCTTCACTGTATTACGCTGTACAACGCTGATGACAATGAGACATTCTACAGATGTTTAGCTCATATGATGTGGCACACTTTCCAATTTTGTGTCATTGGTAACCCGTTGAAATATAATTAAATATATGGCACTCAACTGCCATTGTCCTCGAAAAGCCTTTATCCAAGTTTCAATAACGTCAAAATCCTCCATACAAACTGAACACTATTATACCGAGGAATGGGTAAGTGGTCCACATTCTACATGCTTCACCGGAAACAACGGAGCGGAGATGTCCGGCATATGAGCGACAATACCACTGCTGATGGACAAACATTCTATAAAATAATAATATATATATATATAAAATAATAAATAATGATCTCATTGACCTTACGTGACTCAGCCACCAATGACATAGTTAGGATGAACGAAGTCTCGGCGATCATCCTTGTGATGCGCAGTAGCAGAGAAACAACAAGTACACAAATGCGCTCCGTTTCACACTCAGTGATAATAATAAACATTTCTTTGATTGTAAATCGCTCCCCACATACCTTACTCTTGATGACTAAAACGCACCTGGTAGCACTGTGATACATTATATGGTTACAAGAACACTGGCAGCACACACGGCAACACGAAAAAGATGCACAATCGGATCAATACAAATAGACAGTACATACAAAACTGACATGAGATTTTGCTTGTCGAAAGGTGCACCCAGTTAAAAGGCGATTGTGATTAAAAAGTACCTTATATTCACATAATATACAGATAAATAAAAATCGGCATGCATATAGTTACTGTACAATAGCGGAAAGATTTACCGGGGAAGTTGCTCGTGGCTGAACAAGACCGTGGGGACACAAAACTCATCCTTACCTAGTCGCTATCAGTGTGATCAGAGTACGTCATTCCAGGAAGTATACTAATCCGATTCTCTTCAGTGGTCGTTTCGGAGTCATCCAACTTGGTTCGTTTCACCTGAGACAGATCTTGCGTTCTGGTCGACGGGGTACTACTATTACTCGAGGAAGACGAGACTAGTATGAGTGGTTTGTTCATGGTATTTGGTTTGACAGCTGAAGCTTTCTTCACACAGACAGCACCGAAGAGTTGACGTTTCAAATAGGACGACGTGGAGGGCTGTGAGTGGAATGTGTAAAACAAATAATGTAAACAGAAATATCAAAAACAAGTGAATGTGGGGAAAAATCCTTTCCATTCTTGGAGTGAGCGTAAGTCGGCGGGTGTTTGGGAATGGATCGAAGAAGAGGCTGCTATCGCGTCTAATTTAGCTCCACAGGATCCGCTGGTTAGGACACGTTTTGCATATGTCTAACGTTCGCCCCCCCCCCCTCTCCCCCGAAGAAAAAATAGGACGAATCTTTAACAATCACACACAATCTCACCTTATATGTATTGAGTTTGGCAGTGATCAGTGGCGTTCGCTTCACTGTATTTCGCTGTACGAAGATGATGAACTCTGGAGACAGTAATAACTACGGTCATCTCAACTCCAGGTCAATGAGTAAACCACGAAATTATGAATGAAAAAACAATAATTGTGAAAAAATTCTACTCGCAGCTCATAAACTACTTGACAAATGATGGCTGACGTGAAGTGAAACAAGCGTACGTTATTTTACCGTTTGTGATTTCAGAGTACACTTAACCAAATAATTTCTTTCATCACTAGTAGTTACAGTTGCACACAAATCACGTAAGAAAAACTGGTCGGTGAAGCAGACTCCATATTGCTGACGATTGCAACAATTCGACTTTAATTTATTTCAACTACACACGGATCCCTGTGTGTTAAGTGCTGGTCAGCTAACGGAACAGAGT